AGCATTGAATTGCAAAGGCCTCGTTTCATTACCTCAGGAGGGTAAAGAATTTCTTTCTTTACCGTGGCTGCATATTTTCCCAAAGTTGTAAAGTCACCTGTGTCATCACAAAGCCTATGATCTTTTGCTAATAATTTTACTCTTACCTCCAGATCAAACATTATCTATGTGGCCAGCAATCATTTTGTTTGGAGACTCATCCCTGTCCCTATGGCAACCCAAATCCAACAGCTTCTCCAGGACAAGCAATTTGAATTGGCTCTGCAGCTCGCAGTAAGTCTTGTTCCTGACTAGTCTGCCTTCCTTATCGTTATTGAAAGTAGGTGATTTGGGTTTCAGTGTTCATATTTATTTTGGATTAGTAGAATAAGGACATAGCTGAAAGCTAGGGGCCTTGGATACTGGGTCTGATTCCACCGTGAAATAGCTATGTAACTCTACATGATTTTACTTTTTCACTTTATCTGTCAAATGTAGAATGAATATCAATTATAGTAATAGTACCGCATAGAATTAATGTGAGAGGCCAGGAGTAGTGCCTTATGCCTGTAATCCCAGCACTTTGGGAGGCCAACGCAGGCGGATCACCTGAGGTCAGGAGTTCAAAACCAGCTTGGCCAACATGGCAAAACGCTGTCTCTATTAAAACTACAAAAATTAGCTGGGTGTAGTGGCAGGCACTTGTAATCCTAGCTACTTGGGAAGCTGAGACAGGAGAATTGCTTGAACCTGGGAGGTGGAGGTTGCATTGAGCCAAGATCATGCCACTGTACTCCAGCCTGGATGACATAGCAAGACTCCTTTTAAAAAAAAAAAAAAAAAAGAATAGGAGAATAAAGTAATTTAATATATATTGTATGGTCTTGAAAAATTAAACGTAATGCAGACATTAAAGTAAAGTAACCATCATAAATGTGCTGTTACAGTCAAGTTTAATGCAACAACTAGAGAATCCCTCAAAATTCCTTTCAAGAGTAGACTCCTATGTTTGGATAAGTAGGCTTTCTTTTGATATTCTGAAACTAATTCCAGTTATTGTATTCAGCCAGGCCGCAGTCTTATATCTATGATGCTTACTCTAATGCAGGCGTCCCCAGACAACGGCCCGCATGCGGCCCCCTGAGGCCGTTTATCCAGCCCCCCGCTGCACTTCAGGAAGGGGCACCTCTTTCATTGGTGGTCAGTGAGAGGAGCACAGTATGTGGTGGCCCTCCAACGGTCTGAGGGCCAGTGAACTGGCCCCCTGTATAAAAAGTTTGGGGACACCTGCTCTAATGTATGCAAGGGATCTTGTTCACAGCAAAAACAGTGACCACCCTATGTTCCAAAGATGCTCTCATTTTGAAGATTGACGTCAGAGTCTGTGTCTTGTTCTTTTAAACATCCTCAGTGATGATTATTGTCACCTGTAGGGGATGGATTTGCTTTTAGGAAACAACCAAAAGTCATTCTGAGCCTAACCTAGTTGTTAAGCCAGATATTCCTACTTTATGACTTTTTGTGTTTTTTGAGGGTTTTTTTTTTTTTCGTTTTTTGTATTTTTTTTGAGACAGGGTCTCTGTCACCCAGACTGGAGTGCAGTGATGCAGTCTTGGCTCACTGCAGCCTCAACCTCCTGGTCTCAAGTGATCAGCATCTCAGCCTCCTGTGTTGTTGGGACCACAAGCATATACCACCACACCCAGCTGATTTTTTTATTTTTTGTAGAAATTGAGTCTCACTTCATTTCCCAGGCTAGTCTTGAACTCCTAAGCTCAAGTGATCCTCCTGTCTCAGCCTCCCAAAGTGCTGGGATTATAGATGGGAGCCACTATGCCCAGCCTCAGATAGTGATGCTTTAAAGTAGAGATTTTTATGAAGATAATAGTAATGAAACTGAATTTCTAGAGTGTCTTGTAAACTATTTCTGAAAGGAAAGCAGTTTTTTAGAATGCAGATACTTCTAGTTACCTATGGTGGCTACTCATGAAGAACATTTACTTTGGATGTATATGTTCTGGACTTAAAAATCCAGTTTTAATAGACATAGTTAATATTTCATAAAGATGATTGCTTTCTTGGAGCACTGAATTTCAGCATCGTATTGTGTTTTTTTTTTTTTTTGTAGTCATGCATTGTCCTGTTATTATTTTATTTTCATTTTAAAAAATAATACAATGAATACCCATGTACTTACCATCCTACCCAACAGCCATATCTTTTATAACTTGTTATAATCCTTCCAATCTCATCTCTCTGCCTCTCCTCCAGATGTAATCATTATCCTAAATTTTGTATTTATCATGGCCTTACTCTTACATGTATATTTAAAATATATATTTAATATATAAATATTTGTTTAATATATATTTGAAATATGTAATAAAGTCCTAGGATCAAGGGGGAAAAAGAAAAATACAGATATTTAATGATTAAACATATATGTTTAATTTTTTACATGTATTTAATATATAGAAGTAATGCAGGCCGGGCGCGGTGGCTCAAGCCTGTAATCCCAGCACTTTGGGAGGCTGAGGCGGGCGGATTACGAGGTCAAGATATCGAGACCATTCTGGCCAACATGGTGAAACCCCGTCTCTACTAAAAATACAAAAATTGGCTGGGCGTGGTGGCATGCGCCTGTAGTCCCAGCTACTCGGGAGGCTGAGGCAGGAGAATTGCTTGAACTCGGGAGGCAGAGATTGCAGTGAGCCGAGATTATGCCACTGCACTCCAGCCTAGCGCCTGGCGACAGAGTGAGACTCTGTCTCAAAAAAAAAAAAAAAAAAAGAAGTAATATATTTAGTTTTTGAACTTTATAAAAAGGTTATGTGGTATGAAACTCCTTAGTCTATTTCTCTTAGCAGGAAGGTCTCTCTTTTCAATGATCTTCCTAGTGCAGGTTGTTTAATCTCAGGTAAAGAAAATGGAAGTGGGTTCCCATTTTTTCTTCTCTTTTCTAGGCTCATACTTATTTTGTGCTCTGCCCTTTTTATGACCAAAAAAGGTTGATTGACATCATCTTAGTCCGGGAGGAAGCTATCTCTTTTTTTTTTTTTTTTTTGAGACAGAGTCTCACTCTGTCACCCAGGCTGGAGTGCAGTGGCATGATCTTGGCTCACTGCAACCTCCGCCTCCCGGGTTCGAGTGATCTTCCTGCCTCAGCCTCCTGAGTAGCTGGGACTGCAGGTGCATGCCATCACACTCAGCTAATTTTTTATTTTTAGTAGAGACTGGGTTAACTATGTTGGCCAGGCTGGTCTTGAACTCCTCACCTCAGGTCATCCGCCTGCCTCAGCCTCCCAAAGTGCTGGGATTACAGGTGTGAACCACCACACCCGGCCGTAACCTTTTATTTAAATAGAAAAGCAAACATACATGGAACTTTCAGAGGGAAATTACATACTAAACTTCAGCATTGCTAAGTCCTGGAGTCAAGTGTCAGAGAGGGATAGTTCACTGTGGGCTGGAAAAGGCAGCCTAAGGTTGGACACTTGAGTTGACCCTTTAAGAATATGGTAGATTAGGATCAAGAGCAGGAAATGGAGCATTACAGATGGAGAGGAAGTGAAGGAAGTGAAAAATGTGGCCGATGTCTATCACATTTGGAGCCTGTCCTAATTGGAGAAGGTGTGGCCTAAGTGTTTGGGACTCAGCTAGATGAGGAGGCTGGTTTTGGAAGCCTTTGAAGCACCAAGCAGGAGAGCTGAGACCAGGGACAGCCACACATGTTGATGGCTTGGACTAGGGTGGCGGCAATAGGAAAAGAAAAGGAGGAAGGAAATCGAGAGACATTTTGAAAGAAAATCTAGATTTTGTAAAGATTGGGTAAAGAGGTATAAGGGGAAAATAGGTTATGAGGAAGAAACAAAGCTGATAGCAGCTCCATTTATTTAGCTTTTACTGAGAATAGACCTTTCCCAACTGTGCCAGCTGTGCCAGATGTCTTTCATTCCTCGAGTACACTGTGCTCTCTCTGCCGTCTTAGGGCTTTGCACATGTGCTGTCTCCCTTGCTGGGGACTACATGCTCCTCTTCCCCTCCCTGTCACCCGCCCAGCCGCGCTTAGCTAACTCCAACTCATCCTTTTTTGTTTTTTGAAACGGAGTTTCGGTCTTTATCACCCGTGCTGGAATTGAGTGGCGTGATCTCGGCTCACTGCAACCTCCGCCTCCCAGGTTCCAGAGATTCTCCTTCCTTGGCCTCTAAAGTAGCTGGGATTACATACAGGCTTGTGCCAGCACGCCTCGCTAATTTTTGTATTTTTAGTAGAGACGGGGTTTCACAATGTTGGCCAAGCTGGTCTCGATCTCCTGAACTCATGTGATCTGCTCGCATCGGTCTCCCAAAGTGCTGGGATTACAGGCGTGAGCCACTGTGCCCGATCCAGCTCATCCTTTATGTCTCAGTTTAGGTCCCTCTTGGAATCCATCCTGGACTCCCCGACTCAGACTGGATTGGGAACCCCTCCCACATGATTTTTGTTTTTAAATTCTAGACTTTATTTAGATTTGGACAGTTTTTCTATTATTGTCCTTTTTTCTGTTCCAGAATCAAATCCAGAAATCAGGTTGCATTTCATTGTCATGTGTTCTTAGTGGCCTCTTGTCTGTGACATTTTATCTTTTCTTGTTTTTAATGACCATGACAATTTTCAGGATTACCGGTTAGGCATCTCATAGAAACCCTGTTGTGTTTTAATTGCTTAGTTACTTAGCAGTCTTACAGGTAGGCTGTAAAGGCAGTCTGCAAGGTGAATACCATGTGGCTGTCCTGTACACTTTGGTGTCTGTAGCTCCTAGCTACTTCTCTAATATCAAGAACATACTGAACAAATATTGTTGAATGTGGGACCTCTTACCTATTCTACTGTGTTAATAGGAAATGAAAGATGATTCCGACAGTGAAAAGCAGCAGCAAATTCATCACATCAAGAACTTGTATGCCTTCAACCTCTTCTGCCAGAAGCGTTTTGATGAGTCCATGCAGGTCTTTGCTAAACTTGGCACAGGTAACAAGTGGTGAGGCCTTAGTATAAAGAACTAATGGGTCAATCTGCAGCACCAGAGCACGTGCTTGCGCATAACTGGGGCCACCTGGCACCCCCGCCGGCAGCCCTTTTGACCACAAGCTACAATAAATAACCTGGCTGCCAGGCTGGGAAGTTTTCCAGGCGTTTGCCACGACAGGCCTCATCCCGTAATACCAAGGCTGGAATGGCGTGTTAGGGGAGTGGTGGCTGACGGAGATACGCAGACTCTGCTGCGTAGTGAGTGCCCTTCTGTGCTCCCATACGTTCCCCAGCCCAGCCCTCCGAGTGCATGGTGCGTGCTGTGCCAATGTCGTAAGTCCCAAGCTGTCGTGTCTGCCATCCGACATGCAGAGTTAGTTGAAGGTTGCGTGGAATGGCGTCTGCAGGGCCACTGTGTACTTGAAACAGATTCGGTGTGGAACTGCATGAGTTAACTCCTGGCTAAAGGGTAATAGACCTGTTTACAAATAATCACCATACAGGAGTACTATGTGACAAGCATGGGACTAAAGCTATGGGCAGGTCAATCTGTCATGCCTAAACAGCTCAAAATTATAGGGCAGGGCCGGGCGAGGTGGCTCAAGCCTGTAATCCCAGCACTTTGGGAGGCCGAGGCGGGTGGATCATGAGGTCGAGAGATCGAGACCATCCTGGTCAACAAGGTGAAACCCCGTCTCTACTAAAAATACAAAAAGTTAGCTGGGCATGGTGGTGCATGCCTGTAATCCCAGCTACTCAGGAGGCTGAGACAGGAGAATTGCCTGAACCCAGGAGGCGGAGGTTGCGGTGAGCCGAGATAGCGCCATTGCACTCCAGCCTGGGTAACAAGAGCGAAACCCCGTCTCAAAAAAAAAAAAAAAAAAAATTATAGGGCAGTTGTGAAATCTAATTCATTTTATTTGTAGCTGGGCACAACATAGACACCTCGTACACAGTCCAGATTCTATGGTTGGTAAAAGAGCTTCCACAAAATCTCCAGTGAAATGTGCATCAGTTCCTGACTACAAGGCAGCAACGGTGGGCAAGGATGCACGTGTGCGTTAACTACTTGGGCATTAGATGAATGAAGGTGTCCTGAATTAAGGTTACTAGATGACGATGGGGGTAAACTTCAGCCCGGGAGCACCACGGCCCTACCCACTCAGTTAGGAAGTTTAACTGGACTCTGCTGTAAAAATGCGCGCTTTGAATGAAGAGACCTTTCAAACAGAAAAAAAAAAGAACTAATGGAAGAGGGGAACCTGAAAAGTATGGAGAGAAATGATCCCAGACTTCTGAGAATGGAGAAAGTTTGGGCTCAGCTAAATTGATCCTCATACCTAGCAAGATCCTGTGGGGTGGCCACAGTGGTTACATGTATGTACTCCCAATCCTGTTAATTTGGTCTTCTCAATAAATGTGGACTCCCAGTTTTCCAGTATGATAGGCCCTTACCATTAGAGGAAGGAAACAGAAAGTCATTCAGTTCAACAAATGGGTATTTGATCAGCTAGTGTTTATTGAACACTGTTCTAGACCAAAGTCTTTGGATTAAACTGTTGATTATTTTTGAGAGCCAACACAGGGCAGTGCCATGAAGCCCTTCCTTTTCTTAGTGTCCTGAAACCTCTAGACAGGAGTGTAGTGGCAAGGAGCAGGTACCCTGGAGTCTGCCTGAGGTCTGGCAGAATTACTCTCTGTGTTTCTGCTTTCTCCTCTGCAAAAAAAGAATGATCATATTACTGCTTACCTTAGAGTGTTGCTGTAAGGATTCTAGGAAGTGCTGCAAACAGCGTGTGGCACTTAACAAGTGTCCTGTATTTGATGTTGTTAGTATTGAATTTCATTTCTGTATATTCCATTTTTGCTAATCTATATGTACTTGGTTTGACCCTATTATCATACTAGTATCTCCTCTTCATTGCTTTGCCTTTTTTCCACCATTCCTCAACGTTGGCCAGTAATGAACTGTGGTAACTCCCTGTATCAGTTAAGATTCTTGGTTGTGAGCAATGGATACCAACTCTGGATTCTTTAAGTAGAATCTGGATAAATTAAACAGGGTGTATGGAATATTAGGGTAATGACAGTTAGAAGAACCCATGCAGTTGATGGGAGGTTAAGCTGGGGAACAGATGGAAATGAAGGGAGCTCTGGAGGCCCTCCCAGCTGGAAAGAGGAAGCCAGACAGTGATCAGTTTATAGCCAGGACAGGCTGGGCCATCCTGCATTGGCATAGCCACCTCCTTAGCCATTGCCTCTGCCACTTCCCCTGTTATTGTATCCTTAATAAAAATTGCCCCCTACTAGTGTATTTGCTATCTAATGCTATCTAACAAATCTCCCCAAAACTGTATGGCTTAAAATCACAGTAATCACCTGTCTCTGTTAGTATTTGTTGGTCAGGAATTTGGGAAGGGGTCAGCTGTACTGTCCTTGCTTCAGGTCTCTCAGGCAGTTGCAGTTTTATGTCAACTGGGCTACTGTCATTTGAAGTCTGGACCAGGCTAGAAGATCCACTTCCAATCTGGCTCACTCATATGGCTGACAAGGTGGTACTGGCTGGAGCTGGGGGCCTTAGTTCTTGTCCAAGTGGGTCTCCAGAGCTGCTTGAGTGTCTTCATGCATAACAGTTGGCTCTTTCTAGAAAGTGTCCAAGAGACCTAGGCAGAAGCCTCAGTGCTTTTTGTGTCTCACTCCTGCTATATTCTGTTGGTTTACAAGGGTCCTGACAGGTTCAAGGCAAGGAAGTTCAGACTTCACCTCTTTTTTTTTTTTTTTTCTTCTTTTTTCTTCCGGACTCTTGCTCTGTCACCCAGGCTGGAGTGCAGTGGTACAATCTTGGCTCACTGCAACCTCCACCTCTTGGGTTCACAAGATTCTCCTGCCTCAGCCTCCCAAGTAGCTGGGATTACAGGTGCGTACCACCACACCCGGCTTTTTTTTTTTTTAATTTATTTATTTTACTTTTAGGATTCTATATCTGGCATTTCTCCCCATGTTATCCCTCCCCACCTTTCCCTCCCTCACCACCCCCGACTCTCTCTCCCCTACCTTCCCCAACTGCCCCTAGTATGTGATGCTCCTCACCTCGAGTCCACATGTTCTCGTTGTTCAATACCCACCTATGAGTGAGAACATACGGTGTTTGGCCTTCTGTTCTTATGTCAGTTTGCCGAGAATGATGGCTTCCAGATTCATCCAAGTCCCTACAAAGGACACGAACTCATCGTTTTTTATGGCTGCATAGTATTCCATGATATATATGTACCACATTTTCTTTGTCCAGTCTATTGTTGATGGGCATTTGGGTTGGTTCCAGGTCTTTCCTATTGTACACAGGGCTGCAATGAACATACATGTGCATGTGTCTTTATAGTAGAATGATTTATAGTTCTTTGAGTATATACCCAGTAATGGGATTGCTGGGTCAAATGAAATTTCTATTTCTAGATCCTTGAGGAGTCACTACACTGTCTTCCACATTGGTTGAACTAATTTATACTCCCACCAACTGTGTAAGAGTGTTCCTATTTCTCCACATCCTCTCCAGCATCTGTTGTCTCCAGATTTTTTAATGATTGCCATTCTAACTGGCGTGAGATGATATCTCAGTGTGGTTTTGATCTGCATTTCTCTAATGACCAGTGATGATGCACATTTTTTCATGTTTGTCGGCCTTGTATATGTCTTTTTTTGAAAAGTATCTGTTCATATCCTTTGCCTACTTTTGAATGGGGTTGTTTTTTTTCTTGTATATCTGTTTTAGTTCTTTGTAGATTCTGGATATTAGCCCTTTGTCTGATGGGTAGATTGCAAAACTTTTTTCCCATTCTGTTGCTTGCTGATTCTGTCTGATCATGGTTTCTTTTGCTGTACAGAAGCTCTGGAGTTTAATTAGATCCCATTTGTCCATCTTGGCTTTTATTGCCATTACTTTTGGTGTTTGAGTCATGAAGTCCTTGCCTATGCCTGTGTCCTGGATGGTTTTTCATACATTTTCTTCTAGTGTTTTTATGGTGTTAGGTTTTATGTTTAAATATGTGATCTATCTGGAGTTAATTTTAGTGTAAGGTGACAGGTAGGTGTCCAGTTTCTGCTTTCTGTACATTGCTAGCCAGTTTTCCCAACACCATTTATTAAACATGGAGTCATTTCCCCATTGCTTGTTTTTGCTGGGTTTGTCAAAGATCAGATGGTTGTAGATGTGTGGTGTTTCTTCTGGGGTCTCTCTTCTGTTCCATTGGCCTATGTCTCTTTTTTGGTACCAGTATCATGGTGTTTTGATTACTGTAACCTTGTAGTATAGTTTGAAGTCTGACAGTGTGATGCCTCCTGCTTTGTTCTTTTTGCTTAGGATTGTCTTGGCTATGTGGTGTCTTTTGTGATTCCATATGAAGTTTAAAACTTTTTTTCCAGTTCTGTGAAGAAGGTCATTGGTAGCTTGATGGGGGTAGCATTGAATCTATAGATTACTTTGGGCAGTATGACCATTTTCACGATACTGATTCTTCCTAACCACAAGCATGGAATGTTTCTCCATCTGTTTGTGTCCTCTCTTATTTCATTGAGCAGTGGTTTGTAGTTCTTCTTGAAGAGGTCCTTTACATCCTTTGTTAGTTGTATTCCGAGGTATTTTATTCTCTTTGTAGCAATTATGAATGGCAGTTCCCTTTTGATTTGGCTCTCTGTTTGTCTGTTATTGGTGTATAGGAATGCTTGTGATTTCTGCACATTGATTTTGTGTCCTGAGACTTTGCTGAAGTTGCTTATCAGTTTGAGAAGATTTTGGGCTGAGACAATGGGGTCTTCTAGATATACAATCATGTCATCTGCACATAGAGACAGTTTGACTTCCTCCTTTCCTATTTGAATACCCTTTATTTCTTTTTTTTGCCTGATCGCTTTGGCTAGAACTTCCAATACTATGTTGAATAGGAGTGGTGAGAGAGGGTATCCTTGTCTAGTACCTGATTTCAAAGCGAATGCTTCTAGCTTTTGCCCATTCATTATGATATTGGCTGTAGATTTGTCATACATAGCTTTTATCATTTTATGATACGTTCCGTCAATACCTAGTTTATTGAGAGTTTTTAGCATGAAGCGCTGTTGAATTTTGTCAAAGGCC